AGAGCAGTCTATCCAACAAGAATAGAATACATCTTCTTTTCAGGTATCTGTAGAACATATACTAAGATAGACCATATTCTGATTCATAAAACAAACCTTAACAAATTTAAAAGAATTTAAATCATACAGAGTGTGTTCTCTGAGCACAATTGGAATTAAATTAGAATTCTGTCACTGAACGATAACATTTCTTCAAATCTTCAAACACTTAGAAAATAGAGGACACACTTTTAAATAATCCATGCATGAAAAAGGAATTCTCAAGGAAAATCAAAATACTTTGAACTGAATGAAAATGGAAATATATCAAAATCTGTGTAACATAACCAAAGCAGTGCTGAGATGGAAATTCGTAACACTAAATGCTTACATTAAAAAAGATGATAAGACAGAAATCAATATAATCTGAGCTCTCAGTTCAAGAACCATGGAAAAAGAGAGCAAAAGAAGATGACAGCCAGCAGAAGGAAGGAAATAATAAAAGTAAGAACAGACAGAAATCAATGAAATTGAAAACAGAAAAACAATAGAGAAAATCAGTGAAACAAAGAGCTGATTCTTTGAACAGACCGTTAAAATTGAAGCTTCTAGCAAGGCTGATAAAGTTAAAAGAGAAAAGACACAAATCACCAACATTAGGGAATGTCATTTTAACAGGGGATGTCATGTAGACCTTACAGCCAGCAAAAGAATAACAAGGGGACACCACAACTTTATACACATAAATTTGACAATGTAGCTAAATGGAAGGAATCGAAAAATCAAAGTGGAAAAACACAACCTATCGTAATTTGCTCAATCTGAAATGGATTAGTTTTATCCAGAAAATAGGAGAAGAGGGGACAAAGACATTACAACAAAAATTCACCATTTTTATAGGCTAAAAAAAAAAAAATCACATGATAATATTAGTCAATGGAGAAAAAGCATTTGACAAAATTCAACACCCATTGATAATAAAAACCCTTAGAAACATCCTCAATTTGATAAAAAGCATCTACAAAAACATATAGCTATCATTATACTGAGTAGTGCAAGCTTGAGCTATTCTTTCCCTAAGATTAGTAACCAAGTGGCTCCATGGCTTTCTTCTCTGTATGTCTTCCCATGGCCGCCTTATAAGGACATCAGTCACTGGATTTAAAGCTCATTCTAATCCAGTGGGACCCCACCAGCTAAATACATTTGCAATGGGGCGCCCGGGTGGCTCAGTGGGTTTAAGCTTCTGCCTTCAGTTCATGTCATGATCCTAGAATTCTGGGATCTAGCCCCGCATCACATCGCGCTTTCTGCTCGGCAGGGAGCCTGCTTCCCTTCCTCTCTCTCTGCCTGCCCCTCTGCTTACTTGTGATCTCTGTCTGTCAAATAAATAAATAAAATCTTTTAAAAAAATTTTAAAAATAATAATAAATAAATAAATACATTTGCATTGACCTTATATCCAAATCGGGTCATATTGTAAAATTCTAGTAGACTGAATTTGAGTGGGGAAGGGAGGCATAGGGAGACACTATTCAACCCAATACTGTACCCTGGTTGTTTCAGTGTTAGTATTCTGGTTGTGACATTATACTACAGGTTTGCAAGACCTGACCATTGGGGGAAGCTGGGTAGAGGATACATAGGATCTCTGTGAAGTTACAATGTCATGAGAATCTATAATTATCTCAGAATAAAACATTAAATTTTAAAAATCCTATATTTGCTATTCTCAAGGGTATGTATTCAAAATATCTCACTGGGCACATTGCTGGAAACAAATATCTGAAGTTTACTTTCTATACTTTTTTTTCCCATTGTAATGCTGTAAACATAAAAATACAAAAATATTTCAAACCTACAAAAATGTACCAGTCTCATTTTTTGTTTGTTTCATTAAGTTCAGAAAAGTTTGGACATTCTTCTATGGCCTCATGAAGAATGCAATGCACAAATAATTTATACCATTTAAATCATATGTAAACAATAAAATGTGCCCTTTATTTTTAAGAGATCAACAATAAGACTTTAAAAAAATTTAATAGAAGTTCTGTGAAACTTGTACTGGGTGAATAATTTCTCAAGTAATAAAATTATATAAAAGTAATGACTGGACCATTCTAAGAATTTCAAATCTCAACATTTGAGAATATGGGATCAGCAGTAAACACTGCATTCTGTAATACAGTAGTACAGGAATTCTGTCTCACAGATTAAACTAGAATCCAGTAAATTTTCCTTGAACTGTCCTTTATTTCATTTATTGAATCAACAGTGATTCCAAATAATTCATGGGCAAAAATAGAATTGACTTAGGGTTTTTGAGGAGCTCAGCTAGTATCTGTGATTTACCTCAGGATATATGTACTGTATTTACAAACAACAACAAAACTAAAATGAAAATCACCAAAGGAATAGATCATACACAACAAATATATATATTCAAATATGTATTTTTATAAAGACATCTATAAAGTTGAGGTTATTTTTCAATAACTATTATCTCACTATTGACTTGGTTAGCTTAGCAGAAGATCTGAAGAGTATTTTGCTTCAGGTAGTATTTTCTCAAGACTTTATTCATCACATTTCTCTTTTGATAGCTCAAGAAGATTCTTTTGACTGGTTATTCTACTTGATTCATTCAAAATATACCAAAAGCTAAAAGCTTATTTTTTAAAAAAAATGACCAGGTATTAGAATGTTTTAACCTGTTTCCTTGATAAAACCTGTTTCCATCCTAACATTTTCAACCTCATAGATTCCTCACAATTGCATGGTCAAGACAGACTTTGTAAGAAGTAGACTTCTCTTTGCAGTAACTGTAATTTCCAAAACAACGTAACAACACTAAATTTTAAGTTAATTTTAATCTATTGAAAGAAAAAAAATGGAGACTTTTCAGGTAATAAAACATACAATTGTTAATTTAAATGATAGTGTAAAAGACTCCACCAGTGAAGAAATTACATTTGTTAATTTGCAGTTATAGGAGATTTTCTACATATGTAGCCCTACATTAGTAAAGGTTCTCCAGAGAAACAGACCATTAGGATATATGATTAGATATATAAGAAGAGAATTATTATAGGAATTGGCTTGCAGAATTATGGAAATGGGGTCACTGGTGTAATTCCTAGTTTCCCAGAACCAGGAACTCTAATGTCCAAGAGCAGGGGAAGATGGATTCCACAGCTCAGAAATAGAGAGAGATTTTACCCTTCACTCACCTTTTATCTTTACCTGGGTTCTCAATGGATTGGATAGTGTTTCCCCCCACTCCCATTGGTGAAGGCTGTCTTCTTTACTCAATCTGCTGATTCAAATGCTAGTCTTTTTCAGAAACATCCTCACAGACACACCTAGAAACATTTTAGCAGCTTTGTGGGCGTCCCTTAGCCGGACAAGTTGACATATAAATTGATCACCACAAGACTTGTAAGCCTATAAGGATATTAAAAATTGTTTTCATTTTATGTGAAATATATATCATTGACATCATTTTTTTTATATTTAAAGAGGTGAAGCATTTATTTCTGAATTTTCTGTCATTAGTGTGCCAAATACTTTCGCTGTTGAAAGCAACAAAATTAATCATTTTTGGCTATGGCTGATATTACGATGCACAATAGCAACAATTCCAGTAAACTTAAGTGAGAATGCTCGTAGTGCGCCATGCTAAGCAAACTAGGGGGTGGGAGGGAGAGGAAAGAGATTAAGTCATATACTCCTAGGAGAAAAAGAAAAAAAAAATCTGTAGAATATTTTTCAGAAATGAAAAACTATTTTAGGAAGAGGGGTTAAGGTAATAGCCTTCAGGTAGCACTTATGTTTGTGTGTGCATGCAGAAAATTGAGAGATGCACGATCCCTACAGTTTGCCTTAGAGTTTAAACTATAAGCAAATATATTGAGTACATTTATATAAAAGTTAGGATCATTTAGCATAAAATGTCTTAATTTCTCTATGAGCTTCTAAGTGTAACCCATGTGATTGGAATTTGATAGTTCTTCACATAAAGAGAATGAGAATTCTCTAAGACCTCTATTATTTCAGTCTTTTATGTACAAGGGTGAGCATTCCAAATTACCAGACGAAAACAGCAGCTAGCTTTTGTTAAAGGAAGTGGCAAAGACATTTACTTCTTAAAATCTTTAAAACAAAAGCAACTATAGCTTTATATTATGTAATATACTGCTAAGCTTGATTTTCTTCTTTCCATATAGCTTCAAATAGCTCTCTTAGTCATTTTTAGCCAGAACAATGGATGCATTTGACATTAAGTGTCAAATGTGGGTTCCACACAAAATAGCTGAACTTCAGGCATCAAAATAGAAGGGAAGCAAGGGCAAGCAATATTTATTCACAGTTCATTGGTCAACATATGAAGAAATGTGGACAATTCTAAATTAGTCACCTTAGCAGTTCTGAGATTTGGATCACATATGCAGATAATATATTCTGTAAAAGTTCTAGAAAGTATCTGGTGAGTCATGTAGCTGGGATAGAGAGAGATGCACCATTGGTGGCATGAGCTCTTCATTATATCTACTGCTTGCCCTTTTGTGACCCAAAAGAAAAGGGAGACTACTCCACCAGAAGCCACCCAGTAGAGACTTTTTCCATATATATTATAGCTGTAGGCCCTTTCCCACTGCGTTCAATCCTCTGAAGCAGATTCCATTTATTTAGAATCCAAATATAGAATTGTAGAGATAAAATTAACCTTAAGGATTGTTTTACCATTTAGGAAAGTTAATCTCGGCATTATTAAATCACCAGGCTAATAAGTGATAAAGCTGCTGATCAAACAGTCTCTGAGATTTCTAGTCCCGTTTCCTTGAACTACACTATTCTGCTTTTCCCCCACTCCCTCTCCTTCTTTTCTAGGATGTAACTAAGAAGCCGTGGAATAATATCTTGGTGGCACTTGTCCTTCTCTGTACACACAGAAAAATCATATTGTTGACCATAGCAGTTTGTTTAATTCTTAAGGGATCTCTGTATTTTTCTCTAAACAGCCTCAAAACCGGTGGACTTGAACTCATGCACTGGCCCCGTCCCTAATACTACACAACTGTGCCACATTCCCTGTCCTGTTGAATGTGAGGTGTCACCTTGGTCGGCTTGGGGACCTTGTACTTACGAAAACTGTAATGACCAGCAAGGCAAAAAAGGTATGTACTAGTAACATGACATGCTTAAAACTCCCATCAGTTGAGTCAGACATGAGTTATTTTAAATAATACCATCAGTGTGCCAAATACTTTTGCGGCCACTATTACTCTCTGTTACTTGTGCTTATTCATTCATCTGTGGCATTTTCCAGAATGGCTAAAGAGTATTGAATGCAAAAGATGAATAAACCTATTCTGATGTTGGTACCAGAACAGTAAAACTGAAGTTAATGATCTAAATCTTTGTCCCCTTATCTGTAAAAGGGATGTGATATCTGCTACTGAAGTTTTCTCTAAAGATTCAATGAGATAATAAGCATAAAGCACTCAATTCAGTGCCTGATCCATAGCTAGTCCTCAAAAAAACAAAAAAAAAAAAACACCGTATTACTCTGAAGGTAAGAAAGGAAAAAAAAGAACCCAAAATTATTGCTCTTGTGATGCAAATGATGTATCTAAGAGGAGTAGATGAAATGTAGTGGTTTCCTTTGTGGTGGCATGATGGGGTAGTTTTCACAGGACCTAGTAATGAAAAACATTTTCTTTCAAAGATAGTCTTCTAGTGATTCTAATATGTTCATATAGCAATAAACAGACTTATTAATTTTGGTACACCCTGTCCAGAAGGACAACACGTGGGTGCTATTAAAGCACAGAGCACGACTCTGAAGAGACCTCATTAGAGCCCAGATGCTTTATATCATCACTGGTTCATATTTCCAGGGCTTCAAAAATCAACTAAGGCTCAAAGAGACACTTTATCTGGGACCATCCAACTTCTCAGAGGTTTCTTTTCAAATTTAATTATGTGATAGTGCTGAAAAATTCAAAGTAATAGCACTTTCTCTGGTCATGAATATTTCTAAATAGCTTGAGATTTCATTGTCTCTTTGAATATTTTATAACTACAGACTTTTCCAAATCAACTAAAATCATTTTCTGTGTGCGTCTTTGTCTATCTGTCTGTCTTTCCTGCTCTGCTTCTGCCTCTCTACCCCCTCCAGTCCTGTGAAGGAGATAAGAGATATATGATTTTTCTTGCCTTCCCTCCTTGGCCATTCTGTTCATTCATTTATTCACTTAATAAATGATTAATGGGCTCACATAATCTAGAGTTTGGGGATATACAAGTGATTAAAGCAAATATGAATTTTACCCTCTGCCCTCATCTAGCTTTCCCTCAAGTTTTCATTCAGCCTTTGGAAATATTCAGCCCAGGGCAATAACAATAAGTATGTCCTTCCCCAATAATTCAGGTTTCAAACTGAGGAAGCGGCGTATCACCAATGAGCCCACTGGAGGCTCTGGGGGCACTGGGAACTGTCCTCACTTACTGGAAGCCATTCCCTGTGAAGAGCCATCCTGCTATGACTGGAAAGCAGTGAGGCTTGGAGACTGTGAACCAGACAATGGAAAAGAGTGTGGCCCAGGCACTCAAGTTCAGGAGGTGGTGTGCATCAACAGTGACGGTGAGTTGGGCAGGTGCCTCTACCCTGCTGGCGAATGTCTTTTAACCCTGGCGCTATGCCTTCACTTACGTTAAAATCTCCTGTCCCTTCATCAAAATGCGCTCCCTGTACAAATGGAGAAATAGCTGCTTCTTTCTTTCTTCTTTCCTTCCTTCTTCCTTTTTGCTTTCCCTCTCTCTCTGTTCTTCCCTTCTCTCTTTCCCTTTTTCTCTTTCTTTCCTTTTTTCTTTTCTTCCTTCTTTTTTTTTCTTTGTTTCTTTTTCTTTTCTTACCCCCTAATTCTTAGTCTCTCAATCTCTCTCTCTCTCTCTCTTTCCAATGGTGGCAATGAGGAGGTTCTTTGAACAATCACACGGTATTTTTTAATTTGAAAGCAGCTAACATAGAATAAGAATTAAATCCTCATCAAGGCAATGAATTTTAAATTGCCATTTAAAAATAGCATGGAGGAGCACCTGGGTGGCTCAGTTAGTTGAACATCCAACTCTTGATCTCGGCTCAGGTCTTGATTTCTGGGTGGTAAGTTCAAACCCTGTGTCAGGCTCCACCATGGGCATGGAACCTACTTTAAAAAAAATTAGCCTGGAAAGGTAACATTTTCTAAGTGGACATTTTTAATTTGCCAAAATATTTAAATAAAGAAGGATTGCAAGAATTAGTTGACTTGAATCAAGATGCCTTTATTTTCTGCCCTGATATTGTGTCTTAGGATGTAATTTAATTTCCAGACAACTAAGCCACATGGCCTATTGTGGTCTAGGTTCCTGAATCAACCTCTGACTCCTGCCCCATCCCCACCCCACACCTCCCCAGCCCCACCCAGGAATGTCCTAGAGGTACTGCAATGGTGATTTTCCACAAGAATCCTTTCCTAAACCATAAGAATTGCCTTAAAAAATAATAATAATAAAATTTAAAAAAAATTACCTTAGACTTTCACAACTGATTTTTATTTGTTGAAATATACTGTCTTCTTATTACTCTGATGTAAGATTTTTTTTATATTCTTTCCATGAATGCTGTTACTATTTTGGGGAGATCTCCTTACACTTCAGTAATCTCTGAGTCACACTTAAGAAACCTAGAGCTCCTCACGACATAGTTTAAAACCTTTGACTAAGATCATCTCTAAGGGTCCTTCCAACTCTCTAATGCTGTGACTCTGCACATCAGAGCAGCATTGAGCACCAAGCCCCAGAGTCCCATGATTTGACAGTTTATGCGGTTTACGGCATATGCAGAAACATTCTGGTGCCCCCTCAGGGGCAGTGGAACATCTGGTAACCATCATAATTCCTTCCATCCTATTTTCTTCCAGCAAGCAGAATTGTTTCCTCCTGTGACTCAGTCACTGTTCAGTAGAGAAAGATACTCTCTGGGGTAAGACATGGACAGACACTGCTAGTACTGAGAAATTAGCCTTTCGACTTTGAAACGGACAGTGTTGTCTTTGTCCAGGGACCAACATCATCAAGCAGGACAGCATTGGGTAAAATCCAGACCAGCACTTGAGGTGGAAAGGCAGAAAAGGGGATTATTGCTCCAGATATTTTAGGATGAATTTTATGTATTCTGGGTTTTTTTCTAGATTTACTGCTTTTTATAGATAATTACCCGTGATACATCCTCTCTTTAGCTCTTACCCAGTTCTACTCTAAAGGGAAAGAAAAGAAGGAGATTGCATCTAATGGGGAAAAGAAGCGAAAGAATTGCATTTATCCATCTACTTCAAATCTTTAGATTAGATGGCAATCTGTGTTTTCTTCTTTCTGAGTTGCTTTGAAAATAATGAGTCATGTTTATTTCAGCATCACTGGTATCTCCCTTACTGATACTTCTTACTAATTTTTTTCCTAAATTCAAAATTTTTTCTTATCCTTCTCTAGACCTGGGGATCCCACACATTGTATAAGGTGTATGTGAGTAAAGTAAGATGACAAAAAAAAACTCCAATAAGATAGAAAGTTCCTTGTGCATGGAACTTCTGCCTAAATATTATTAAATGAAAAATCAGAGATCTCACTTATTTCAATGATCTTCTTGGGTGTTTGTACAAATTCAGTGTATTTTAAATACACGAGAGGAACTGGCTATCTTAAAAATATCCGTAGTTGATTTTTATTTTGTCAGCTAAAAAATATTTCATGACACAAGTAATCACCCCCTAAATTATCTTATGGAACACTAAAACACGAAAATACAGGCAGAGGAAGGAGTTACGTATGTCTTGTTATTTTGAAAAATAACGTACCTTATATCCTAAAACACGCATTGGTAACTCCCAGGATACCTCAACTGGTTTCACTTTGCCTGTCTCCCAGAAAGAGTGAATTAAGGAAAAGAAGTATGCTATTGATATTCAATTTGTTGTTACTGTCCTTTATCAGGGCATGTCTTTCCTCATTAAATTTTACTTCCTGACATGAATTTGTTATGGTACAACTCAGTATTTTAACTGGCTTAACTACGTACGGAGCTGTATAAAATCAGGGCAGTTCTTTATCATTATAAATTCTCAAGGCTGCTCAAACTTGTATATGCTGAAACCTAATTGTGCTAATAGAACAGAGCAAAAGCTGGAGACTTGTAAATACTACTCCAGTCTTATCATGTGGTCACCTGGTAAGTGTTTAGCAGCTGCACCAAATGTTGTTTTGTAATTAAATCGAACCCAGGGAATTAAAGTTGATTAGTTGTACAGACTCTACCCCTAGGCCTGGCTGCAGCTATAGATTTTGTTTTGTAATTAAGTTAAAGCTCAACTAGGGAAATGAAAAAATTAGAGCCTGTGAATGTTAGCAAATAATAAAAAGGCTTTTTTTTCCTCCCACGTTCCTCACAAATTTCACAACTTTGTTAGCGACCTCAAAGCATTTGAAGCCTCTTTTCTTTTTTCCTGAAATATCCTCTGCCCAGGCTTCCTGAGATCATTAGGATTTGTTGCTGGTTATTATTCACTTTTCCAATTGTCTTTCAAGAAGCAGGATTGGGGAAGGGTTTTGAGAATACTCAGGAGGAATTTTACATAGATTCTCTGACAGACAGAGGGTATAAACAGAAATGTGAGACAAAGAGAACTCAGAAAGCAATTAGACTCCACAAAAAGAGATAAATACATGATGTGCAGTAGAAAAAATACACTCATAATTTAAGGATCGTCAGAAAAGCAGTTCCCAATCTCCGAGCACAAACACAGGAATTATTCCAAACGTCTGATGGTGACATTGGGGTTGGGAAGAGGAGCGATCCTAGAGTTTTGTGGACTTTTAAGAAAAACTAAAAGCTGCCCTATTTCTGTTTTTGTGAAATTTGTGTGTTTTATTTAAAGGCATAAATTTGGTGGGGCAAGAGTACTTTTAGGACTCTTGGTTGGTACAGTAACTAATTGGTTGTTTAGAGATAGAACAAAGCAAGACTTTTTAGGCTGAGAGTGGAAGAGAAAAATCCATTGTCTTATTGATTACTTAAGGAGACTATAAACCAAATATTGTTTGCACATATCCCTCTCCTCTGTTGAAAAAAAATGATGCCACCCATATCACATTACTATGTGCTCTATTTCAGATATGAGAATGTCAAAGCCACAGTTTTGTATTTTGCTATTGGTATTACTTTATAAGCAGTGAACTTCAGCAGTTTCAAAATGCCTACCACTCCTATACTACATTTCTTACTCTTTTCCACATCAGTAAAAGTTAACATGTAACCACTGACATTGACATGTGTGACTCACATTCATACCTGACAGATTTTTATGAAAACAAAATAAAATATTTCTGTGGAAGTGAATCAATACAATTCATCATTACATTGCTCCTAAAGGCACAGTAGAAATAGCAGTGACCAGCCAGGGCCCTCAAAGTATATAATGTTATTCACGGAGCACTGTGGTTCTGGCTCAACTTCTTCCTCTTCCATTGGGTAAAGCATGTCATGTCAACGTTTAAATAAATGAAAATGCCATTATTATATGGATAACCTGTAATCACTCTGATTTGTTAAAATCAGCTGACTTGAAATGTCACTAACAACAAATAATTTCCATACACCCAAAACTTGATTGTAACACACCATTGCATCATGCCACCATGGTTAAAAATTATTGGATTATTAAGAACGTCTGCCAACAGATGCCTCATGTACAAATGGAAGTACTACATCAATAATATTAGATATTTATAAGTCTTATGTAAATGGATATAAGATACATTATGTATGTATTCATTTTACACGGATATTTTTTCAGTTTACCTTGTGAGATGCTAAATCCATTCTTGCAAAGAGTGTTCTGGATCCCCCAGTATCAGAATCTCCTTAAGTATGCTATAAACTCAGATTCCTGTCTTCTTCTCTACAGACCCAATGAATGCAGTCTGTGCGGGCAAGTCCCAGAAAGTGCATTTTTTTGCAGCTCCCTAGATTGTTGCGATGTACAATGAAGTTTATGAACCAGTGTACTAAAATGAAAAAAGGATTGTTTCGGTGGAGCCTAAGACTCAACTCTGTTACCCAAACACTGCCAGCACCAGAGCAAACTGATTCGATTTGGATAATGCTGTAAAAGACCTGTGAATAAGAATACACTGAGATTAGTAGTGAGGCATGCCTTTACAGTAAGTTTTTCTGCCTCTTTTGGAACCACTTCTGCATCTCATCAGAAGTGCCAAAAGAGCCAGCTGTAAAAAACAGGAGATGATTATATTAATGTTCAGGGCCCTGGCTTGTCACGTGACTGCTTATTCTTTCTGAAATATTTAGCCCGAGTTGCTTCCTTCTGGAATGAGCTATGTATCCATACATGAGTAGAGGGAAGGAAAGACTTGAATACTATTTCTTTCCCAAGTACTTCATGCCATACTTCTTTTTTCCCACATGTTCAGTATTAAGAGGAATATATTCCCCTTAAGAAGGGGCTATTATTTCAATATCTTGAGGTAAACACAGGAGTAAACATCTAGAAAACATTGAAAATCTTAACCTTTGGAAGGCAAGACTCAGTG